GTAATTGGTTTAAGCCCGGAGGCTTGGGGAAGAGGGAAATGGGGTGGGGGTGGGGTGCAACCCCCTTTGGAAGAGGAAAAAAGAACAACAGCCTGGGCGGGCGAGCGCGCGAGGAGTGTCCATAGGACCCGCGCAGCCGGGGAAGAGCTGGGGCGGTGGCGTTGGAACCCAGACCCGGGGGCAGACCCGGCTAAACGACCCAGGGTCTCTCCCCAGGGACCGGCAACCTTTTGGATGGCCCGACAGCACCCTGTCCCGCGCCCCTCCTGCTCCTCTGCTCGCGGCCAGCCCCCACCCTCCTGATTCCTGCCCTAAGGTAAACCTCACGCCCGCCCCTCCGGACTTCAGGCTTGAAAAAGAAAAAAGTCCCACTTTGGCCCCGTCACTAGAAACTCGGCCATCTGACTCAGCCGAGCCCAGGGACGTTAGGCCGACCGGGCTCCTGGCTAGCAGAGTGGAGACGCTGCCACGAAAGCCGTACCTGCGGCTGAGAGCGGGTGAGTCATAGCACCGTTTTATACCTTTATGACATAACTTTTTTTCCCCCTGCCTCGGTCCGCTCTACTCCCCTTGTCATCTGTAGCAGTCATAAAGAGGAAGAAACTGGGAACAGATGTCTGCGTGATAGGGCAGGCGGATCTGAGTCGGGCAGTCCTCCCTCTGCCCAGCTCCTCCTCCCACCCCCCTTCCCCAGCCTTGGGGACTGAGCTGGAGGCGACCGTCCGGTTTCTGTTAGGGAAAGGTCAGGGGGAGGGGACAGCTCCCCAATGAAGCGCCTGAGCTGGGAGAGCCGGGGCGCCGGCGCGGGAGTGCAGCCGCTCCGCTAGGAAGGTGCCGGGCGGAGCCCGCGGTGGTCTGCAGCGGCGCCTGGCCCAGCCTCGGGCTTGGAGGGGGCCGGGCCAGGACAGTAGGCTCTCACTGGGTTCCTAATCGGTCCGGACATTTGTGGGAAGTTCTCTCCGGAGCAAAGTCTCGACTCCCATGAGGCCCTGGGTAGTGGGTTGCCCACAAGTCCTGGGGAGACCAACTGAAGTGACTGGGAGACAGGCGCGAAATTGGTGATAGGTTTGCGTGACCGTGCATGTGTGTCTGAGCGTGTGTGTTTTAAATGTGCCCGTGTGTTTCTGAGTGTGTCGTACCCTCTGTAGAAGCACCAGGCTTCTTTAGCAATAAAATGACCAAGAATCCACAAAATATTCTTGTTTGGCAAAGTTTTAAAAATGTTATCATCTCATTTCGAGAAGTGTGTTTTAACTTGTCCTCCAAACCGATACCCACCCCCGCCCCCCTTTGTTCTTTTAAATCTTTCTTCCTTGAAATCTGGCATCAGAATCAGGTTAAATCCTTGAACCAAACAAATCTCTTAAATCAGCAGGGGAGCAGGAGAGGGTGAAGATGTGCAGTTAAGGAAATTTTAAAAAAAGATAAAAGCATTGGATTACAATCCCCCCCCCTTTTTTTTAACAGAAATGGGGGGGGGATACCTCACATGGTAAGAAAAGGAACGAGAGTGAAATTAAATCCACCTGGAAATCAGAAGAGCGGGCGCCCTCCCTAAATGCAGCCTGCGCAAGTCAGACCCATCACTTTGTGTAAATGTGTTGAGGACAGTGGGGCTCTGCACATATTTCCCACCAGCCTCAGGACCTTAGTTCCACTTGTAAAGAACACGGATGCTTCGCTTCCTCCGCCTGATTGGAGCGGGGGCCGGGGCTGGGGCTTTCAGTGCTAATGAGCTTCCTTGTTCCTTCCGTGGTGACACTCCGACGCCGTCCTGGCATGACCAGGGCATGTTTCTATGGGTAGTGACAACTTAGTAACAGCTTTCATGGTGCACAGGAAGCTGGTGCTTTAAGGGGGCAAAACTACTTTCACTTGAAAGAGGGTCAATGAAAGCAAGTATTTTTCCTCTTTTAGCCTACATTTGCCAAACCTACTAGGCCTCATCTCAAAAAAAAAAGAAAAAGAAAAAGTCAACCTAAGAAAAAGAATAAAGCCCTTGTTCACAGCGGGATGGCCAAAGCGAAGTTTCTCCTGAGCTTCCTCAAAGCCCAAGACCGGTGGTCAAGAGTGGACGCTGCCAGAGCGCCTCCTGTCGTGGGGAGGGAGCGCTGAATCCTTCCGCCGGCGCCCCTAGCAAGCTTCCCCCGGGGAGACCCGGACCTCGCCCGCCTCCCGCGGCCAGATTTTGGTTTACACAGCCGACTGCCTAAGTAAGGCCTAGGAGGAAAGGTGGCACCTCGGTTAGCTCCCAGTGTCTCCATCTCAGTGGGCGGTATTCCAAGACACCTAATAAGTTTAGGAGGTGAAGATTTGGTGCACCCAGATCCAGCCGGTCATTTCCCCAAGGTTTAAAGACGAATCATCTGGGCCATGCCGGATCTTTGATGTGGAAAATAAACAACAAATAAAGCTGCTGCCTGGGGTTGCTGGCCAGTGGGCAGTCAGGTGGCACCCCTGGCGGCTGCATCTCGGTGGTTTCCAACGTCTTCTCCCAGTGGGCCCTGTGTTTAGGCTTTGCAGAAGACTGCTGCGCTTTCCTTAGAGCTAGACCTGTGTTCAGCCTTGGGGAGCCACGAGGGCAGCCACATGGCGGCTCCTGGGGAGTCCCGGGCAAAACCTGGGCGACAACGGGTCCGCGCGTGCCTGGGACGCCCCGGGCGCCGGGGCATTCA